AGGGGCATAGCCTTATCGGAGCACAAAGCCTCTCCCTGCGTCCCTCAGGCAGCCTTTCAGTAGTATCTCCACTAGGAGCAAAATTTTCAGTCGAGAAATATACTCAAGTGATTGCATGCAGTTGTAGATATGAAAGCTTTACCTAAATATAGGTCTAGTTTCAATACTTGAGAATAATGGCAGAATCTGAATTTGAGGAACAATTTTTTGTTCTTTAAAGTCACTCAGACAGATAGCTTTCAATACATAACAGATACCATTTATTGGGCCAGCCTATGTGCTAAGTATGGTTAGGAATGTTTACATTTATTATATCACTTATTTATCAAACACCTTGCAAGTGAGATATTATTATCTCCATGTTAGTAATGAGAAATCTGAAGCTCAGAGAGGTCAAGTAATTTTGTTGTAATCACATAGCAAGTGAATGATGGAGCCTGGATTAAAAAAACAAGCCTGACCAATGTCAAGGTCGAGGCTTTAACTATTCTGGTATAATGTTTGAAAGGCAATCTGTGAATTTTTGTCTTTTTAGGGTTAAAGAAGATAGAAATGAAAATTTGGAAATGATTTCTGGACTTTTGAATGTGATCATATAGCTGTGTGATAACTCCACCATGCAGAAGCACCACATACCTTTGGAAATAACTGTACTGTGACCCTCAGTAACAGAAGCTGATCAGACAGAGAACCCTTCCGGAATGGTAGAATGCACAGAAAGCATACACCAGGAAGAATTTCATGTGCCTGTTGTCTGCTGTCCTGTGTACCTCCTTCTCCTGCTTGAGGATTAGACTCCTCAAATCATACCAACAGTTAAAATCTTTACAGCAAATTACACATGTATATCATTGTGCAATATAACAAGCAATCATTCTGTTCATTGTCATGTGGTTTTCACAGAAACTCTGTGAGCCTTAGAGGGCATATAATGAAAGCATCTACCTTTTGTCTCCTTCCTTAGATGAACCTAGTGTCAAAGACAGGAGCAATCGAATTAAAGGTGAGAGATTGATGTTCTCTTTAACTTACCTGGGTTCTTAGAAACAGAAGCTACATATTTCATATTACCTGAACCTTATTCAGCTCTTTTCTCTGGATGAGCATTTCCTTTATATTATGCATGTCTTTCCTAATAATCACTTTCCCCATTTTCCCCATATTTTCAATCTTCATTCTTTATCTTTTCTCTATTTTATCCCCCCCCCTACGTATAAGGTTATTCCTTAGACTTTAAAAAAGTAAATTGAGTGTTGGCTCTAGGTTTAAAGATTAAATGCTTTCTAATTCCCGGCAAGAAATATGTTGTGAAGCCTTAGGTGCCTTATCACTGGGAGACTATTAATCATGGCTCCTATAACATTTTCAATGAGGAATTTTCTCTTATGCCTGTTTAAAACTATTGGAAAATGTTACTGAGAAAGAATAGAATCACGAATAATAAAGATCACTGACCCAAAGGCATGGTCTTACTACAGGCTGGGATTATTTACTTATTTATTTTTTTAATCCTCACCCAAGGATATTTTTCCATTGATTTTCAGAGAGAGTGGAAGAAACAGGAAAAGACAAAGAGAAATATCAGTGTGAGAGAAACACATAGCTTGGTAGCCTCCTGCACGTTCCAGGGCTGGGGAGGAGCTTGCAACTGAGGTATGTGACCTTGACTGGTAATGAACCCAGGACCCTTCCGTCCGCAGGCCAATGCTCTATCCACCGAGCCAAACTGGCTAGGTCTGGCTGGGGTTATTAATCTAACCTCTCAATCAAGAACTATATATTGACTTTCTATAGGTACCTGGATATAAAATATGGGATGTATACATATGAATAATGATAGTTAATATTAATGGGCAACTTCTTAGTATATACTGAGTGGCCAGATTATTATGCTATCTGAACACATAATAATCTGGCCACTCAGTATATTTACGTATAAGGGAAAGCTTGCAAATCTTTATATGTCAAGGGACCAGGAGATAGTGGCCCTCAGCCTCTGGCTAGTAAGTCCTCTGCTTCTTTCTAACTACCCACATTGCAGTTCTTATACATGGAAAAACTTTATTTTAAAATCCCAACTCTGTGGTCAGTCTACACTGAGTGGCCAGATTCTTATGCATTCAGAGATCATAATAATCTGTCACTCAGTGTACAATTCAAGGTATTTGCTTCTGGCCTTCCCAACTGCTCTTATTGACACAAGTTATCTTCTATTACTGCTCCTCTCCAGCAAAAAACCCCTCACTAATATTCATCTTACTATTCACTTTAAGTATATTGTATACCATATTAGATTGTATTTGTTCTGTGTGCAATTCATGTATTTTCAACTATTTTCTTGGTTCTTTGGCTTACAAGAGTTAACAAAAAACAAACAAACAAACAAACAAATAAACAAAATAAATCAGTATGAAATAGATTTTTCAATAGAACCTACAAGAAGTATTTGGAATTTTAGTTGACCTTTGGGCACAATAAATTTAGAAAGACCAAAAAAATGGGCTCCTTAAAAACATCTTAAATTTTTAAAAATACGTCTTTATTGATTTTATAGAGAGAGAAAGGGAGAGGGAGAGAGATAGAAACATTGATTGGCTGCCTCCTGCATCTCTCTATTGTGAATCGAGCCCACAACTGGGCATGTGCTCTGATGGGGAAATGAACTGGCATTCTCTTGGTGCATGGGGCAACACTCAACCAACTAAACCACAAGGGCCAGGGCTCACCTTGAGTTTTTTTTTTTTTTTTAAACAGTTGTAATGACCAGTCACAGAAGCAGCAAAATAAGAATCAGTACAAAAATTTTAATATTAATGAATAATCACTTTCCTAAAGACAATTAACTATTTATTGTATTGGTCAAATAATCCTTAATTGGGCACACAGTTTACATTTACTTGTTGTTAGCCTGCTATATAGTCTAGTATTAATAATGGACACTTTGTGTAAAAGTCACTGGTTAGTTTGTGTATTCACCAGGAAAAATCAGTTTCCCATTTTTTCTCTTTTTTACTTATTTTCTCTAGCATTTGTCTTTCTGGAATAGGAATCAAGAGACCTAGCAATTGGTGCCCAATTCTGACAGTTGTGTGAATTTGAGGAGGTCAGTTTACTTTGTTGGGTCTCATATTTTCCACCTGAATGATGACCAATTGGACAGGATGGTCTTTGTATAATTCCACGAGAACTTCTTCTCATCACTTTTTCTCACCAAGGTCTTGGGTATTTTTTAACAATCACTGAGTTTCCAGGGTCTCTCCCCAATGTTTCCATCATGTTTCCATGCACATTCATCCCGTCAATCTTCTCTCTGATGAGTAGCACATGTGGCTGTTCCCTGCCTACCAACTACTCCAGGTCCCAGGTTTCTGATAATAGAAAGTATGTGCTTGAGACTATTGGCAACAGAGGTGACAGTGTAATTGCTATGTGTAGGTGAAATATAGAGATTCATGCCAGAATTGGGGTCAGGACACAGTGACAGCCTCCATGAGTTTATGGTCTGGGATGAATGAGGGCATCAGTCTTAGGGCCCTTTGTGGGGTTGTAGTTGCAAAAATGAAGGATGTCAATACACCTCTTCTAGTGTATTTCATCGATTCCTAAAATGATTAACCTGTGTTAAGTGTCTTCAGGAACTACTTTCTACTCTAGGGAATGATTGAGGTGGGCACTGACTATGGAGAAACATAACACTTTTCTGCTCACCCTTCACATCACATATAAATACAATACATATTAAAGGACTAAATCTCCAGTGTTGCATTTTGTATTTTATGGTTCAGATGAAGAAGAAAGCGAATCTGCCCTCCTAAAATGTGTCTCATTAGTGTTGGATATTTCTCTTATTTTTGTAATCATAAATCAAAAGTATAAAATACAAAGTCTCTTGAAGATAAAATATTAGAATGTATTTCAGTCAAAGTAAGCAAGGTAATACAAAATACCAGAACAGGTTACCAGGCAGGCAGTACTCAGTATTTTAAAGGGTTGGGGGATGCCAGTGTATGTAACGATGTCAGCAAAGGGTACCATTGTCAGCAAAGGGTACCATTTTCATTGATGAATGAAAATTCCATATCTCACCTATTTCAAGTGATGGTCTTTAATACCCAGGTTTGTATGGGCAGAAAAAAGCTGCAGTGCTACTTTGTATTTTTAGTGGCTAAGCTAGGCATGTGCCTTGGCTAAACTCTGATGAAATATCTCAAATACACGTTTATTAGGCCTAGAGAAAGTCTTGCATCATTAGGAGGCATAGGGTCCTTAGGAAAGCCTTGCAGAGTGTTGAGGTCAGTTAGGGCTTTGTAGTTATGAAAAATCGTGTGGAAATTAGAGACACCCAGGATCATAGTGGACATGATAACATATGATGGAAAATAGTGCTGGTTCTATAGTTTATCAAGATCCACATACTTGTCCTGTTCTATATTTAGAGGCTCTCTAGTTTCACAAACCCCAGCCTCTTCATTTAGTTTCAATCTACAGTCTATTCTAACTTAGCTTATTCTTATGTCTCCAGGAACCTTTCACTCCAGGTGACAGCTCTTCAGTTAACCACGCCTTCCTCTTATCCCTGCTTTTGGTCAGCGGATTTTGAGAACCACTGGAAAAAGAAGAGGATAATGAAAATATACATAAAAGCAAGATGGAATATGTTGGAAATGAGGAATAGTCAATGTCAGAAGTGATTTAAACAGAGGATGAATGTCACGAACACTCATAAAACTTTTGTTCTTGCTTAATCTGTTAATTTGAGAGCTGAACATTACAGTGAGAGTATTGGAGATAGGTTTAAAGTATGTTGCAGTTCCCATGTTGTGATATTATGTTGACTTTTATTCTTTGTTTTATATATTTGAGGAACTGGATAACTGTATACTTCTCATGTATAATAAGAACATTGAAATTCTTTGACATGTTGTCATCTCCATAATCACAATTTCCTCCTCATTTTCTTAGTTCTCATAATTTCAGCCACATCCCAGTTGGGTGGATCTATGGATGAAGGGAATTACTCGGTGGTGTCTGAGTTTGTGTTTCTGGGACTCACCCAGTCATGGGAGATCCAGCTTCTACTCCTGGTGTCTTCCTCTGTGCTCTACGTGGCAAGCATGACAGGAAACATCCTCATTGTGTTTTCTGTGGCCACTGATCCTCATTTACACTCCCCCATGTACTACCTTTTGGCCAGTCTTTCCTTCATTGACTTAGGAGCCTGCTCTGCCACCTCACCAAAGATGATTTATGACCTTTTCAGAAAGCATAAGGTTATCTCTTTTGGAGGCTGCATCAGTCAGATCTTCTTCATCCATGTCATTGGTGGTGTGGAGATGGTGCTGCTCATTGCCATGGCCTTTGACAGATATGTAGCCATATGCAAGCCTCTTCACTACCTGACCATCATGAGCCCACGAGTGTGCATTTTGTTTACAGCTGCTGCCTGGGCTCTTGGTGTCAGTCACTCGTTGTTCCAACTAGCATTTATTGTTCATCTGCCCTTCTGTGGTCCTAATGTATTGGACAGCTTTTACTGTGACCTTCCTCGGCTCCTCAGACTGGCCTGCACAGATACCTACAGATTGCAGTTCATGGTCACTGTCAACAGTGGGTTTATCTGTGTTGGCTCCTTCTGTGTACTCCTTATTTCCTATGTCTTCATCATGTTTACTGTTTGGAAACATTCTTCCGGGGGATCATCCAAGGCCTTCTCCACTTTGTCAGCTCACATCACTGTGGTTCTTTTGTTCTTTGGCCCAACCATGTTTGTTTATACATGGCCACACCCCAATTCACAGATGGACAAATTTCTTGCTATTTTTGATGCAGTTCTCACGCCTTTTCTGAATCCAGTTATCTACACATTCAGGAATAAAGATATGAAGGACGCAATGAAGAGAGCATGCAAAAATTTAGTGATTTACAGAAAGATCTCTTAAGTGATAGGATATGTCCTTTTTAGTAACCGAAGTGTAGCCTTTTGTTTCTAGGTTTGATATTTTAGATTCAGGAAGTTTGAGGCACCACATATTGATTTGAATGTTATCAAACTTTAATATATTTTTAAACTGCTGAATGTATTTATTCCCAGGGAGGAGTGAGCCATAAAAACAGTATATTTACCTATGAAAGTCCCATTAAATATTTTTTAGATATGTTATATAGTTTTCAGTGAATTGGTCTTACCTATCTTTTTTGAGATTTATTCTTAAGTATTTAAATTTTTGATACTGTTTTAAAAAGTATATTTTTATTTAATTTGTAATTATTTATTACTAATATACATAAATGCAACAGATTGTTTTTGCTTTTTGATTGACATTGAATTCTGAAGACATTACTTTTACTATTTTTTTATAGATTAAGATTTTCTTTATAGATGATTATGTTGTCAGTGAATAAAAACATTTTACTCCTTTTATTCTAATGTGTTGATTTTATTCATTTTTGTTGCATTATTGTACTTGCTAGATCAAAAGGTACAATGCTGAGTAGAAGTGGTTAGAGTGAACATGCTTGACTTATTATTATGAGAAAACATTGTTTTGTTTTTTCTGTCTTTAAACTAGAGGCCCAGTGCATGAAATTTGTGCACTGTAGGGGTGTCCCTCAGCCAAGGCTGCACTCTCTCTAATTTGGGACCTTATGGGGGGTGTCTGACTGCCAGTTTAGGCTTAATCCTACAGGCAGTCGGACAATCCTGGACTGCTGGCTTCTAACCACTCGCCCACCTGCCTGCCTGTTTGCCCCTAACCACTTCTGCCTGCTAGCCTGATCACCCCCTAACCACTCCCCTGCTATCCTGATTGATGCCTAACTGCTCCCTTGCTGGCCCACTTGCCCCCAACTTCCTTCCCTGCCAGCCTGGTTGCCCCTAACTACCTTCCCCTGCCAGCCCAATCACATCCAACTGCTCTCCTCTCTTGGCCTAATTGCCCCCATCTGCCCTCTCCTGCAGGCCTGTTGGCCCCTAACTGCCCTTCCCTGCTAGCCATCTTGTAGATCTTGTGGCAGCCATCAGGTTCCTTATAAGAAGTCAACTGATTGATGGTCTTTCTCACATTGATGTTTCTCTCTCTAAAATCAAAGCAGGTCCTTGGGTGAGGATTGTAAAGTTTATAAAGACTTGTCTTATGGCCTATAAGAGAGCAGGTTTTTAATCTCACCTTATATTTAGCACTGACAGTTTGCAGAGCCTGGTTCCTCAACACAGCTAAGAACATAGGAAAGGGAAGAGCAACAGTTCACAGCTGGTGCTGCTCTGTGAGACTGGAAATAAACATAGAACTGAAGTTAATTTCCAGGAAGGAGAGAAGGAAGCAGAAGGGGCCTAATCCTCAGAAATTCAGAGTGCCCTCTGTGAAGGCAAGTTCTTGCTCATACTGAGTGCTAAAAACTGGAAAAGCTGTCTTCTGGTCAGCTAGCAACAAAGTAAAGAAATGTGTATCCTCTTATAGTTGGCAGTGTTCTGCAAGATTGACAAAAAGCACAGATCAAGGCTTTTTCTCCAAGAAGGCAAGAAAGAAGTAAGAGGGTCTTGTTCCAGCCTTAAAGCACATACTGTGAGGGACCTTGCTATATATTGAGCACTGTTGACTGGTGAAGGTCTCTCCTGGTCAAAACCAGTTCATAAACTTGAAGAGGAAGGTGATTATTTAAATACACAGACAAAAAAAGAAACCTACAAGGAACATAAAGAATGAACTATGACCCAACCCAAGAAGAAAAACAAACCTCTAGGAACCAATCTAACAGAAACAGAGATCTGTGAATTGTCTGAAATATAATTAAAAATAATCATACTACACAATAAAAGAGCAATATGCAAACTAACCATCACTCTGCTACACCCACCAACCATGCCCACCAGCCAATCAGAGAAAGTATGCAAATTAACCCCAACCAAGATGGCTGCAACCATAAAGAACAGGAGAGAGGCTACGGTTGCCCCTGGCGATAGAGGAAGCCAAGATTCTGCAGCCCTGGCCAACCGAGGCCTCTACTCTAGGCTACAAAGTTTCAATTATAGAAGGTAAACAAATCCAAATAGAAATGGCAGCAGCTACTGAGCGAGCAGGAGTTTGGCTCCACTCCAGGCTACAAAGTTTCAATTGTAGAAGGTAATTAAATTCCAGATACCAGGGCCTCCGCTTGGGTTGCCAAAGGGTGTGGCCGGCCCTCACTCAAGCCTCCCCACACCCCAAGGGAACCCCCACCCTGATCAAGGATACCCTTCAGGGAAAACCAGCTGGTCCCCATTCATGCACCATGCCTCTATCCTATCTAATAAAAGAGTAATATTCAGATTGACCATCACTCCAACACACAAGATTGCTGCCCCCATGTGGTCAAAGATCCTGCCCCCATGTGGACACAAGATGGCTACCATAAGATGGCCAGCAGGGGAGAGCAGTTGGTAGGAACCAGGCCTGAAGGGAAGGGCAGTTGAGAGGGACAAGGCCTGCAAGGGAGGGCAATTGGGGTAATCAACCCTACAGGCAAGGGCAGTTAGGGGTGACCAGGCCGGCAGAGGAGAGAAGTTGATGACAAACAGCCTGGCAGCAGAGCAGTTAGACATCAATCGGGCTGGCATGGGAGTGGTTAGGGGGTGATCAGGCTGGTGGGCAGAAGTGGTTTGGGGCAATCAGGAAGGCAGTCAGGCAAGCAGTTAGATCCAACAGTCCTGGATTGTGAGAGGGATCCCAGATTGGAGAGGGTGCAGGCTGGGATGAGGGACACCCCCCATGCATGAATTTTGTGCACCGGGCCTCTAGTCTTTAATAAGCACATTGAGTTATAAGAGAACATGATAGGTACCTAAATAAAATCAGGAAAGCAACATTTGAAAAAACATGAGAATACCAACAAAAGAGATAGATATGATAGGAAAAAGAACTAAACAAAAATACTGGAGGTGAAGAATATAATAATTGTATTGTGAAGTTCACTAGAGGGAGTTCAAAACAGAATTTGTCAAAAATAAGAAAAAATTAATGTACCTGAAGACAATTCATTTGAATTTATACCTGTCAGAGGAGCAAAAGGATAAAAGAATGAAGTAGAATGAAAAAACCCTAAGGGAATATAACTCACCAAAAATAAAATAAATATATGTATCGGAATATATCCAGAAAGAGAAGAGAAGAAAAAGAGAGAGAGGAAAGAGAGAGAGAGAGAGAGAGAGAGAGAGAGAGAGAGAGAGAGAGGAGTATAAACCCCATTTAAAGAAATCATGGCTGAAATCTTCCCATATCTAGGGAAGAAAATCAATATCTAGGGGATTTCAAGATGGTGGCAGAATAGGTGGAAGTTACACTCATCTTTTTTCAGGACCAAACTGTAATAACAACAATCATCCTGAACAACAAATAGTCTTCAACTGAAGACTAGCTGAAGAAGAATCTTATAAACAAATATTTACAGGAGAAGGCACATTGAGATTGCTAGGAAAGATGGAGATGCATAAAAGACTGGCCCTATGCCCACTGGCTATTGGTGAGGTTCTGGGTGGATATCTCAATGGAGGGAGTTTCCCCTTAAAAGTGCGGAGCCTAAACCACAAGCTGGTCTCCCCAGCCAGAGCACCAGAGCCAGGAAGAGATGCCCAATAATATCTGGTTATGAAAAGCAGTGGGGTTTCTGTGTACTAGAAAGAGACTAGAATCTGCTAGAGACACGCGTACCCTTTTAAAGAGCAAGTGCACAAAATTTCATTTGCAGACACTTACCCTGGGTTCTGGTGGAGGAAAGGAAGAGCATAATATAGACCTGAGAGGACAGACACCAGGATCCCTGTGCTGAATCATTCTTCCATATTTCAGATGTCCTCTTTTTTTGGATAAAACACTTCCTTTTATGTGACATCAGCCTGGGGCAAGCAATTGCCCCACCCTCTGGACTCTTTGTCATCCCGCCCTGAAAAGCTTAGACCCTGCTGGGAGTCAGCTTCCTTGGCTAGTGTGTAGAGGTCTGGGAAAATTCAGAGGATGTCAGTGACTACGTTGTATGGCTTTGGGGTAGGGGTCATTCCCCCAATTTCCCATGAATCTGAATGGTGCTTCCCCCTCACTAAAGATTGATAGAACTACCCACCTGGCTTTTTGTAGACCCACACTTTGGTCTCTGGAGACCCCAAATACCTGAACCCTAGTGACTCTACCTTGCTGAGGTTGGGGTAAAAATCCAGGATAGATTGACTTATGTGGCTCTGTGGTAGGGGCCGCATCCCCCACCTTTCCTGAAGCCTGGCTGGCACCTTCTCATTATGGGAGATTCACTAGCTCTATTCTCTCAACTCCACCAGAGGCTCTTATAGGAACTTGAACCAAACAGGCAGCTGGCAGGCAGAGGCAGGTACAGGCAGATCTCATGGTGCCATGGGACTTTTGCTGATCTGTCTTCATGGGGCTGGTGTTGGTAAAAGCCAAACTTGGTGCACAGCTTGGTTTTTCCCACATGAACCCAAGCCTGGCAGAGGCAGACACACACTGTGGATCACTTGTAGCTCCAAACAGGTTGTTCAGGGCTAGGGTCTGACTTGGCCTGCACCAGAGTCCCTCTGAAAAGATCCAGAACCAACACACCCAGTGATGAGCTTTAGACTATATCAGAGCAGGATGCAATAAGCTTCACAAGCAGAATATTCAAACAGAGATCTTGGCAGACACCAAACTCTGCTGCAGTGAATTCCACTTTGTGTGGTCAGCACATGCTCAGCAGTTCACTTACTATTGTTGGGTTTGTGGCTCATAGTTAGCCAGTCTGAGGGTCAACCCTACACACGAATGCACCAATAGCAATAAAGACTCAATTACAGCCCTACCCAGTTTGGCTCAGTGGATAGGACATTTTAGTTGCAGCCTCTTCCCCAGCCTGGGCCCTGGTCAGGGCCTGTGCAGGAGGCAATCAATCGATGTGTTTCTCTACCATCGGTATTCCT